TGCTGAACGTGTGCGCACTGCTTAATGACCCAGGTGGGACTGCCCCACTAGGGTAAAGGCTTTCATCCAGCTAAGCCTTCCTGATATAATTATTTGGGGAAAGTGGGTAGCAAGATTTGAAAGTGAATTCTTCACTGCAGAATATAAACCAAGTAAGGATGAACACAGCAATTACTACATGACTTCCAAGTCTCATAAACAGAGTTCTCAGAGCCTAGGCCTCCAGAAGATGAAAACTGGTATTCTTTTATTTTTTTATTCAACAAAGTCCCATGGAGACTACCAGGAGTTAGATAGTCGGGTTCCAGGGGTTCAAACAAGAAAGACTTGAGCTCATAATCTAGACAAAGGCCAGAGAACACATCTAATACAGTATGATAAGGGCCAAGTACGGCAGATACAAGGCCACATGGAAGCAGAGGAGAAGCACTTGTTAAGAGGAGGCGGGTATAAGGGTTAGGAGAAGCTCCCATGATGCAGTGACATTGAGATGAGTCTGTAAGTATGTTAGCCAGCTCCCTTGGCTGTGTACAGACTATACTTGATAACAGTTATACAAATTCCCTCTATGACCATGTGGCTTACACAGAGAGTAAAGGGAAAAAACAAAAATGAATAAGAGGGTGGAATAAGAGACTGGTGTTGGAAGGCTGGGAAGGGAACACGAGCCTACCCAGTTAAGTAGGTATTATTCCCATTTTACAGATGAAAAAACTGAGAGTTGTATTAAAGGTTGTTCAGGGTTGAGCCTAAGACAGTATGACTCCAAGGTCTAAACTTTTTATTCTGAATATTGATTCTGTCTAGGTTTCAGGCTTGAGCTCCCCGTTTAAGCACTGGAAGTTTCAAAAATGGTTTGGAGAAAAAGTTCTGTTTCCTGGCAGGAATGGCAGTCTTGCATGAGGTTTGATAGAAGTGATATTAAGAGAAAGGTGTACTCTACTACACTTCAGATCACATTATTCTCAGGGAATAGCTTATAAAGGAGGAACGATTCTACAAAGATTTTAAGTATCCCTTTGAGTTGATATCTGCCTTCACGGTCACCTTCTTTGAAGATTGCATCTGTACCACTGTCAGAGCATGGAGAATATTTTTGATGACACCAATAGTCACCTAAATCCCCACCTAGTATTGACTCATCTTTCTTCTGCTAACTAAATGAATTGTTGACAGTTCTTTTACTATCTACGGATACCACAGAAAGATTGGCTCTCCAGAGCTCTTTTATTTTTCTGACCATTTTAAGCATGATTTTCTAGAGTCCTGCTTACATTTATTGTTTTGTGTATATCATTAAAATTGATTTACCAGGAATTCCATCCAATTCTATGAACCTTGATTGGAGTCATACAAATTGATGGTAGAGGCCACTGGAACTTGGAAACATGAGTGAAAGTCCTAGTCCTGCCATTGGTTGGCCCTGAGTATATGTTTAATTCCATCTTAGGTTCTCTGTCAAACAGTGATAATATCTATCTCATGGGCTTCATTTTGAGGTTAAGTACCATAACGTTCATGAAAGAACGGTGAGCTGCTCTTCAGATAATTCTCCTTTTCTCTTTTCTTTTGGGTGTTTAGGAATATCCCCAAATGTCTTCTGAATCATTACAGAAAGAGTAAATCATGCCCCATGTGGTCGTTAATGGTACAGTTTTTAAGATTTGTAATCTGTATATGATAGGTCGGGCAAATTTATTAACCATATTTAATTAACTGGAACATACTGTTCTGAAGATAACTGGGATGATAAGACTATTACTGTAACTTATTAAAGCCAATTAAAACTTTCTGAAGATTTAAGATGTGATTTTATTCACTTTTTAAAAAAGAGTTTTAGCCTTGGGGTCCATAGTTGCTGAGATTCCATTTTAAAATATTGTCATTTTTTGAAAAAATCTGTCCTCATATAAAACCTCTTATCAAATAAGTAGGACGCTACAAGAGGCTTTCACACTTCCTCTATATCTTTGTTTACCCGAGTCCCCTGAATTACCATTTCTCTTCTGTTTATTTTTTAAAGCTAGTGTTCTCAAAGTTTGAGGGTTTCTTTTTTTCAGGTTTTTTTCACTACCCACTTATTTTGAATAGAGTATTTTGTTGTTTTTGCTCTTGTCGCTATTGATTTTAAGGATGCAAGAGATTTTAATATGTTGCTGGCCAAGCTGAAGGAATAAACGGAGAAGGAGAGATTGAAAATGTAGGTGGAAGAGATGGAGAGAAGGTGATCATGGATGCAGAAGGAGTCAACATCAGAATGGTAGCAAACACAAAAATCAAAGGTGGTCCCCACAATGATGGTAATTAGCAAATTAGCAAACGAGAACAGAGACGTTTTGAGGCAGAGAGGAAAGCATCTCTTAGCACACAATTGTTTTAGTCTTTTCAGGAAAGTAGAAGTGTGGTCATATGATGAGAGCAAGTGAGTATGGACTCAGAGCTTGAGAGCATCTCTGGGGAAGGCAGTACGATGTCCACCACCAAAATGTAACAGTATATTGGGCAGCAGCCTAATGGACCCAGCTGCATTTTAAAATGATAAGTTTGCTGGGAAACCCATGGATATAGTAAGGAAATTTATCTAGCAATTCCAGTAACCAAGTAACCCAGGAGTTGGTAAGTGGTCAGGCAGATGTGAGGAAATGCCAAAAGTCTTGATTTAGTAAATGCTGATCAGGGAGACACCTGAAGTGAAGGAGGTGTAAAATTGGGAAAAGTAGAAGGGCTCCAAGGACTGGCAGTCCTGATAAAGACAAGAGCAGAGTCTGTGATTTTTCTGGTAGTTTTATTCTTCTCAGAATGGGTACAGTGTGCTATTACTAAATCCCAGGATTGAGGTAAAAGATGCTGGCTTTTCACATCTTGAAATGAGAAAACTAGTTTCCTTGTAAACTTCATTAGAAGTCACTGCTTGACCGTGTGTTAAACCCTCCAATGATAGGTTTTGGTATTATTTCTCTGCTACACTGTACACTGTACATCATTAACGGATTATATCTGCACATTTCCTTTCTTCCTTCTCCTTCCATTTGATAAACTTTCCCCACATGCACTCCTGAGAGTCCGTGTAACATCTCTACATTCTGTGCCAATGGTGAGATCTTTCATTGCTGGCTAGAAGCTTACCAAACGTACTGTTATTTAAGAGGAGGTTACCCACATACCTGATCTGTTCTGCCTCTCGGCTCTGTGTCCACAAACTCCAGAGGATCCTCGACTCTGAAGTTCAAGAATAGGAGCAGAAGAATCTTCGGTGACAGACAGAGGGGACAGTTGTCTGCTGATGCTACTGTGTGAACTGGGGCAGTTGGCTCCCGGTTTACATCGAGTAACTGATGATCTGGAGGTACCTGGGAAGAAAGGGTTCATACCAGTTTGAGAATTTTTTGAAGGAAAACAGATTTTTAAATGCCTTGGCAGTAAAATATATGGAACATTCATCGAGTTCATTTCTAATTTTAAAAAAGGGGGTCCTAAAAAGAGAATGCTATGTTGGCAAGGTCTGTGTCCCTAAGACAAAGGGTCTTTTTAGATAAATCCATTAACTGGAAATGAACATTAGAAAATGGTGTTTGGGTTGACATATCTGTTCTGAATTAGAAGTGTTATCACAGTCAAGTAGTTTACCTCAGGGAAAGCAAAGTGACGATACGCTTGCCTCCTCCTTTTTCTTCGTAAGGCTGACTGTTGAATTCCTAACTGGTGAGACTGCCAACAGGGTCTCCTGTTAAATCCACTATACACTTTTCCATCAGATTGATCACTAAAATCCAACTTTGCTGTGTCTCTCTGCTCTGGCTAGGATTTCCAATATGTTGAATAAAAGTAGCGAGAGTGGAATGCTTTCAGCTTTTTCACTGTTGAGAATGATGTTAGCTGTGGGTTTGTCATATATGCCCTTTATTATGTTGAGGTAGGTTCCCTCTGTGCCTACTTTCTGGAGAGTTTTTATCATAAACGGGTGTTGAATTTTGTCGGAAGCTTTTTCTGCATCTATTGAGATGATCATATGGTTTTAATCCTTCAATTTATTAATATGGTGTATCACATTGATTGATTTGCAGATATTGAAAAACGCTTGCATCCCTGGGATAAATACCACTTGATCATGGCGTATGATCCTTTTGATGTATTGTTGGGTTTGGTTTGCTAATATTTTGTTGAGGACTTTTGCATCTACGTTTTTGCATCTGTGATATTGGCCTGCAATTTTCTTTTCTTGTTATATCTTTGTCTGGCTTTGGTATCAGTGTGATGCTGACATCACAGAATGAGTTTGGAAGTGTTCCTGCCTCTGCAAATTTTTTTGAATAATTTAAGAAAGATAGGTGTTAATTATTCTCTAAATGTTTGGTAGAATTCACCTGTGAAGCCACCTGGTCCTGGACTTTTGTTTACTGGGAGACTGTTTTTTTTTTACTACGGATTCAGTTTCATTACTGGTAATTAGTCTGCTTATATTTTCTATTTCTTCCTGGTTTAGACTTGGGAGATTGTACATAATTATGAATTTCTTCTAGGTTTTCTGTTTTATTTGCACATAGTTGCTCATAGCAGCTATGATCCTTTGTATTTCTGCCGTGTCCATTGTAACTTCTCCTTTTTCATTTCTGATTTTTTTGATTTGGACCCTCTCTTTTTCTTGATGAGTCTGGCTAAAGGTTTATCAATTTTGTGTATCTTTTCAAAGAAATAGGTCTTAGTTTCATTGATCTTTTCAATTCTGTAGCCTCTATTTCATTTATTTCTGCTCTGATCTTTATGATTTATTTCCTTCTACCAACAGGTTTTGTTTGTTCTTTGCTTTCTAGCTCCTTTAGGTGTAAAATTAGATGATTTATTTGAAATGTTTTCTTTTCCTGAGGTAAGCTTGTATAGCTATAAACTTTCTTCTTAGAATTTCTTTTGCCGAGTCCCATAGATTTTGAGTCATTGTGTTTGTGTTTCATTTGTCTCCAGGTATTTTTTAATTTCCTATTTGATGTCTTTAGTGATTCATTGGTTGTTTAGTAGCATATTGTTTACCTCTACATGTCAGTGTTTTTTGCAGTTCTTTTCTTGTAGTTGAATTCTAGTCTCATAGTGTTGTTGTTAGAAAAGATGGTGATATAATTTCAATTTCCTTAAATATACCGAGGCTTGATTTTGTGGCCTAGCATGTGATCTGTCCTGGAGAATGTTCCATGTGCACTTGACAAGAATGTGTATTCTGCTGCTTTTGGACGAATGTTCTCTCTATATATGTATCTGTTAATTTCATCTGGTCTAATGTGTCACTTCAGGCCAGTGTTTCCTTCTGTCTGAATGATCTGTCCATTGATGTAAGTGGGGTGTTAAAGTCCCCTATTAGTATTATGTATGTTATTGTTGATTTGTCCATTTATGTCTGTTAATATTTGCTTTTATGTATTTAGGTGCCCCTATGTTGGGTGCATGTATATTTACAATTGTTATATCTTATTAGATTGATCCCTTGATCATTATGTAGTGTCCTTTTTTGTCTCTTGTAACAGTCTCTACTTTTTTTTTTTTTTTTTTTTTTTTGCGGTACGCGGGCCTCTCAGTGCTGTGGCCTCTCCTGCTGCGGAGCACAGGCTCCGGACCCGCAGGCTCAGTGGCCATGGCTCACGGGCCCAGCTGCTCTGCGGCACGTGGGATCTTCCCGGACCGGGGCACGAACCTGTGTCTCCTGCATCGGCAGGTGAAGTCTCAACCACTGTGCCACCAGGGAAGCCCAACAGTCTCTACTTTAACTCTATTTTAATTCTGTTCTGTCCGACGAAAGTATTGCTACCCTGGCTTTCTTTTGATTTCCATTGGTATGGAATACCTTTTTCCATCTCTCACTTTCAATCTGTTTATGTCTTTGGATATGAAGTGAGTTTCTTGTAGGTCTTGGTTTTGGATCCATTCAGCCACTCTATGTCTTTTTTTTTTTTAATAATACTTTTTTAAATTGAAATATTGCTGATTTACAGTTTGTGCCAATCTCTGCTGTACAGCAAAGTGACTCAGTTATACACATATATACATTCTTTTTTTAAAAATATTCTTTCCATTATGATTTATCCCAGGAGATTGGATATAGTTCCCTTTGCTATACAGTAGGACCTTGTTGTTCGTCCATTCTAAATGTAATAGTCTGTAATAGTTTGCATCTACGAACTCCAAACTCCCAGTCCATCCCTCTCCCCCTCCCCTTGGCAACGACAAGTCTGACCTCTGCCTGTGAGTCTGTTTCTGTTTTGTAGATAGGTTCATTTGTGTCACATTTTAGATTCTGCATATAAGTGATATCATATGGTATTTGTCTTTCTCTGACTTACTTAGTATGATGACCTCTAGTCACATCCATGTTGCTGCAAATGGCATTATTTTGTTCTTTTTTTATGGCTGAGTAGTATCCCATTGTATATATGTACCACTTCTTTTTTATCTATTCATCTGTAGATGGACATTTAAGTTGTCTCCAAGTTTTGGCTATTGTGAATAATGCTGCTAGAAACACAGAGGTGAATATATCTTGTTGAATTATAGTTTTGTCTAGTTATATGCCCAGGAGTGGGATTGCTGGATCATATGGTACTTCTATTTTTGGTTTTCTGAGGAACCTCCCTACCGTTTTCCATAGTGGCTGCACCAACTTACATTCCCACCAACAGTGTAGAAGGGTTCCCCTTTCTCCACACCCTCTCCAGCATCTGTTATTTGTAGACTTTTTAATGATGGCCATTCTGACCAGTGTGAGGTGGTACCTCATTGTAGTTTTGATTTGCATTTCTCTAATAATTAGTGATGTTGAGCATATTTTCATGTGCCTACTGGCCATCTGTATGTCTTCTTTGGAGAAATGTCTATTAAGGTCTTCTGCTGATTTTTCAATTGGATTGTTTTTTTATTGTTGAGTTGTGTGAGCTGTTTATATACTTTGGAGATTAATCCCTTATCTGTCACACCATTTGCAAATATTTTCTCCCATTCCATAGGTTATCTTTTTGTGCTTTTTTTGTTTTTGTTTTTTTTTATGATTTCCTTTACTGTGCAAGAGCTTGTAAGTTTGGTTAGGTTCCATTTGTTTATTTTTATTTCTATTGCCTTGGGAGACTAACCTAACAAAACATTGGTACGATTTATGTCAGAGAATGTTTTGCCTATGCTCTCTTCTAGGAGTTTTATGGTGTCATGTCTTATGTTTAAGTCTTTAAACCATTTTGATTTTATTTTTGTGCATGGTGTGAGGGTGTGTTCTAACTTCATTGATTTACATGAGGCTGTCCAACTTTCCCAGCACCACTTGCTGGAGATTGTCTTTTTCCCATTTTATATTCTTGCCTCCTTTGTTGAAGATTAATTGACTGTAGGTGTGTGGATTTATTTCTATTCTGTTCCATTGATCTATATGTCTGTTTTTGTACCAATACCACACTGTTTTGATTACTATACCTTTGTAGTATCGTCTGAAGTCTGGGGGAGTTATGTGTCCTGCTTTTTATTTTCCCCCCTCAGGATTGCTTTGGCAATTCTGGGTCTTTTATGGTTCCATATACATTTTTAGATTATTCCAGTTCTGTGAAAAATGTTATGGATAATTTGATAGGGATTGCATTAAATCTGTAGATTGTTTTGGGTAATATTGCCATTTTAATAATATTAATTCGTCCAATCCAAGAGTATGGGAAATCTTTCCATTTCTTTGAACCCTCTTTAATTTCCTTTGCTAAAGTTTCATAGTTCTCAGCATGTAAGTCTTTCATCTCCTTGGTCGGGTTTACTCCTAGGTTTTTTTGTGTGTGCGATTTAAAAAGGAATTGTTCTTTTTTTTTTACATTCTCCTTCTGATTTTCATTGTTAGTGTAAAGAAATGCAACCAATTTCTGAATGTTAATTTTGTATCCTGCTACTTTTCTGAATTCATTTATCAGATCTAGTAGTTTTTGTGTGGGTTCTTAGGGTTTTCTATATATAGTATCATGTCATCTTCATGTAGTGACAATTTTACCTCTTCCCTTCCAATCTGGATACATTTTATTTGTTTTCTTGTTTGACTGCTGTGGCTAGGACTTCCAATACTATGTTGAACAGAAGCTGTGAGAGTGGGCATCCTTGTCTTGTTCCAGATTTTAGTGCAAAGACTTTCAGCTTTTCACTGTTGAGTATTGTGTTGGCTGTGGGTTTGTCATAAATAGCTTTTATTATGTTGAGATATGTCCCCTGTATACCCACTTTGGTAAGAGTTTTTATCATGAATTGATGTTGAATTTTTTCAAGTTCTTTTTCTGCATCTATTGAGATGGGCATGTGGTTTTTAAATTTTCTTTTGTTAATGTGGTGTGTTACATTGATTGATTTG